TGGGAGGATGAATAGAGTGATGCTATAGAATCACTTCCTACTTGAAAAAAAAAACGTAAATTTTCTAAAGAGTACAACTATTGACATCTAAATATGAATGAAACGACGAGTTGATTTCGACCGACGAACTGATGAAAATTTTCTTATATATTATTGAGTCAAGATTATTAATAGGGGAATAGAAAAGATCACTTTTTCTTTCTTGCAACTCTCTCAATATGCTGAACAAAACAATGAAAAAGTGAAGGGAAAACTTCCATCGAACAATTCTCGTCAGAAAAGCCGCAGTTCGACTCTCTTCACTCTCGGCTTACATTCGATTGATAGCAAAGACATGTATCGTGTTATGTTGTTTTTGGCGTAAATTTTTCTCTATTTGAATATATCATTGTGTGTTAAAATATCGATCGTTTCTTCTTAAAAATATTTCCTAATTTATCAATAAAATCATATCGAAAGTTCTCAACTTGAATTCCGTTTTCACGATAAAGTTGGCAACATTCAGTTTATTTTCTTTCTTTAAAAACAATTTGAAGAGAAATGACTGTTTAAATCTATGTTATAATGACATCGCTTAGAAAGTATTCAGAGTGAGAGATGAGATTTTAATCTAAAGTCGATAGTTATTTTCATCATCTACAACTATTTCTAACAGTTATCTATTCAGTAAAAGGTTGAAAGCGGAATTTCCCGTTGTGAATTGTGATGATGAGATATGACCTTGTTTTTGCTATTAAACCTTCTTTAAAAGATAATGTCTTTCGACGATAGTAAGATGAAGTGAAAATTTGAATGTTCATCATCCAATAGAAACTTGTAGTTTTTTCTTCGTTTGAACTACAAAAACAACAAGATTACTGTTTAGACATTGTTTCATTTGATCATCGAGTAACACCTTTAGATGATCCAAATTGTGTATTTGTTTCAGCACCATTACTACGCAATGCATACCTGAATGCAAATGCAAAATGGGTACAGAATGGTATCACTGTCGCTGGAGGAAAAGGACACGGGAGTGAAACACATCAGCTGAAAAATCCATGGGGATTATGTGTTGATGATGATCAAACTGTCTATATTGCTGATTTTTACAATCATCGTATTGTGGAATGGAAATGTGGTGCGACGACTGGTCGAGTTGTGGCCGGTGGAAATGGACAAGGAAATCGTTCTGATCAATTGAACTGTCCGACAAATGCAATTATTGATAAGGAAAGAGATAGTCTTATCATTTGTGATCGTGGTAATCAAAGAATTGTTCGATGGCCTCGTCATAATGGTACAAATGGAGAAACAATCATCTCAAATGTTGGATGTTCGTGCTTGACAATGGACGATGATGGATTTATCTATATTGCTGATTGGGATGAACATGAAGTCAGACGATATCGAATTGGAGAAAGTCAAGGAATAGTAGTTGCAGGTAGAAATGGACAAGGAAATCGTCTCGATCAATTAAATCATCCAGTAAACGTATTCGTCGATCGGTATCATTCAGTTTATGTATCAGATTACAGTAATCATCGTGTGATGAAGTGGATGAAAGGTGCAAAACAAGGCATTGTTGTGGCTGGTTGTCAAGGTCAAAGAAATAGTCTTACACAATTATCAAATCCTGGTGGAGTTGTCGTGGATCAATCCGGTACTGTCTATGTGGCTGATGGTTGGAATCATCGAATAATGCGTTGGTCTCAAGGAACCACACAGGGCAGTGTCATCATTGGTGAGAATGGTCGCGGCAGTCAATCTAATCAACTCTATTATCCCACTGGCTTATCATTTGATCGAGAGGGCAATCTCTATGTGAGTGATCAAGGAAATCATCGCGTACAAAAGTTCAACATTGATCGAAGTTAATGACTTTGGAAAATGAATATTGCTTTAACATTCTCATTCTCAGGGAAAAGTTTTTAAAATTTCAAAATCCTACGGACTTATTTGAAGTTGATGATACGATTATTCTGAAACAAAATCAAAATTATAATCGATTAAGAAATCCGATTCTTGTCGATTATAGTTTGCCTGGTTTCGATTGATTTTTTGGTACTGTTGTACCGGCTTGTAAACGATAATATGAAATAAAAGTAAATAGAGATCTTTCGAATGGAAAAAAAATGAAAAAAAATCGATTAAAATCAGATTTGTTTTCTTTTTTTTTACATGATAATTATCTTTTCTAATTCGATGCTATGTGTGTTAACTGGATTCACTCTCTTATCATCTATTAATTAACTTCAATCTTTTAGTACTTGTTAATTTGTTTTAACCTCTTATTACCTGTGAATCAATTTAATTGGCTATTATTAATTGATGTGAATCACACATGTCGAAGAACAGCGCTTTTCTCGAGATCCGAACGCGATACCCCAAATTTTGATGATTTCTTATTGACGTTTCGTATTTAGAAACCATGAATTTATCGCCAAGCTATACTCCGGAAAAAAAAGTAACTTTGAAATTGCTACATAAATTGTTTCCATTGAGATGGTACAATTACATCAGCAATCGACTAAAATTGATTAAGCTTGTGAAATATAGCTTAATTTCATCACATAGCGAAAATAATAGTAGTATTAATTTTCCACTATTGGAATCACTTATAGTCCACCTTTGTTTGTTCTGAAGATTGCCTCTATAATGCATAGTCTAAACAGACAATAGAGAGAAAAAAGACAGTTGGCACTAGCTTCCGCTTAAAGGTATGTTAAAACTAATATGGTCACTCCCTCTCAGAGTCTGTCGAATTATTCCCGAACACAAACCCGACCGACTTGGTTCTGAAGCTACCGGTTGATCGAGCTTAGGTTCAGGATCATGATGGCGTTGATGTGGGTAAAAATCTACCATATCTCACTCACTCCGTATCCTAAACCAACACACACTCATACACACTCCTCTAATTTGTCCCAATAATTTACTTCTATTACATCTTACTGATATTGACCAATTCTTTTATAATCCATTAAGAAGATTAAAATCGAATTATAAGTGGAATCGTCGTTAGTAATTCATCGAGAATTTATGAATCTGATTTTCAGTGATTAAGATTTTAGTTGATTAAAAAGATTAAAATCAGTTGCCAATGAAAATCGGATTACTACTGAGATAATCAATGGAGTAGATTATTTTTTCAATCGATTTAAAAATTTTACTCAATTTGAATAGGATTTCCTTGTAAAAAGTGGCTCGTTTGCACAAAACAATTAGACTTCTATATCGGTAATAAAAAATAATCGTAGTTTTCTTACACATATTTTTAACCGGGGTATGACTTCTGTTGAACTTAGTATAACTTCGTAAAGAGTCATACTTTCCCATATAGGATACGGACAAATACGATCTGAATACTGAGCCACGTAACACACCGAAATACGATAGTATACAGTGAAATATCGAGTGTATGCGATCATTTCATGGTGTAGAAGAAATTTCGTATTCCTCATCCTTTATTTCTCAGTCAACTTGATTTCTAATAGCTAGATACCTATTGTCATCCT